AACCCAAGAATACTTAGCAAATTTTATATTACCTTCATTGTTAACAGTTAAAAATATCGTCCGTAAACTATTATTTCAATTATTGGAATGGTATAAGGACTTAAAAAATTAAAATGCGGAAATGTATAATGAATGTACCTATAACGGTGTTTAATGGTTAGAAAAAGAAAATTATGACAAAATTTTCTTTTTTAATTTTCAAGTTGTTAAAAAAACACATAGACGGATGAAAAAGGAGTAAATGGTAAAAAAAAAAGGATAAACGGGTTAAAAAATGATAAATGGGTAAACGTGTACTAAACGGTTACGGTTAAATGGGTATACAGTTATGGGTATGGTTAACCATTTATAAATGGTTATGGGTATGGGTATAACCGTTTAGGCAATTACCCAATAGGTAAACGGTTATACAAGTATGAGAATAAACGGTTATGGATAAATAACTGCGATTACCCGCCTGCCATAACCATTGTCCATCCCTACCTAAGACTGTCTTGACCTCAATCTTCATCATTTTTCCCAAATGATTAACAATTCACTTATATCTTCATCCCTATGAAGATTTCTTTTATAACATTGTTCTTATTTAGGTAAGGGTTCCTGCCAAATCATGTGTATATAAAACACTTTTAACAAAATTAGTATGAGATCACTGATATACGATTCACTACGTTCGTCACGTAAAAACCGTCCTAATCAGGCATTCATAATTAAAATCACTCCTATCCTCCTTCTCAGTATCTACCAAAACCAAAGCCTATGGACGATGCATCTAACTTCAATGAAACGAATTAGATTCAACTCAACGGCATGTACTTACTGGTGGCTCAGAATTCATAGCCCGGCCGACCAATCTGTCCTTGTTTTTTTTTCCTATACAATTTTCCCAAGCTCATCCATGAATCATAATAATGAACTTTTAACCTAACTAATTAATGAAACCTGAATGAACTTTTAACCTAACTTGCATGTGTATATGCAACACATATCATATGCATATCTGATGAATACAGTATTGTAAAAAGAATCTGTAACGAATTCGAATTTGTTAAACTAGCTCTCGGTCTAGCTATACTGTTCTTTACAAAGTTGACAAAGGTTGAGAGAAATCGTAACCTAAAGTCAGCAAAATTGGATAAGTTAAGAAAGATGTGTTGTTAAGCCCTTGTCATAATGCATGCATGGGTTTCATTATGGGAATGCTAAAGGAAATTACTAGTTTGTTTTAGATAGATAAGGTTGGTTGGTACAGTGACTGGTGAGGAATGAAATGGGGAAGTAAAACACATTGATTTTTCTAGGTGGGATGCCTGTGCTGGAATATGCTTGCAAAATGCAAACCCTAGCTAGATTGAATGCGTGATTTCAGATTTTCTCTTTTCTGACTTTGTGCTGCTGCCTGCTTGCTGGGATTTAAGGTTGAAACGACAATGCATTATACAAAGTGACAAGGTGTGAAGGGGGCTTTGAAATTTATATTCCGGATCATTATGATTTTCCTTTTTCCAGATCATATATATGCATGCTCTCTCTCCCCATATATATTGTCATCTATGGAGTAATTTTTTAATATGTTAGGAATACGGCTCGGTACAAGTATTATAGTATAAGTGGTTGGATACTTGAATTTTTTTTTCAACCACTTGTTTTATAGCATTTGGTGTACCTAGCATATAGTATTCAAGGAACGCTGAACCAGAAGCAATCACTGCAAGCATTCATATCTATCAAAGTGTGAACCTATAATATTTAATCAAGGTCAGACATGTTAACAGCTCCTATATTATTTTCTTCTTATGATACAGTGACCCAACCATTTTCTCAACCTTTTGCTTCAACTACTTTTTCCTATCTTAATTACGTGTTTACGTACTGAGTGAGATAGGTGTAGAATATGGATGAGGATGCTCTGAGGATCCTTTTTGTGAGGATTCTAGGAATTCTCATATTTTATCCGTTTATCGTACATCGTGAAGTTAGTTTTTGTTAAATACTATTTGTGTTTAATTTTAAATAAAGAAATTAATAATGATTTTTGAATCCGGATAAGATCCGAATCCGTCGAAAATGAGCTCTCAGTACTGTCTTGTTTTCTTGTCCTTTTCGTCAATTGATTTGTTCCTTTTTTATCTAGACATGCTTGAACTGATGTCACATTCTATCGTTTCCCAGTTTGATGAAGAAGATAGTGTCGTGTAGGAGTTGCACATCTAAATTGTAATTTCTCTGTTGTGCAATACTTTGAAATTAAGTTTCAATTTTGCAGGTATATCGATTAGTCAAATTCAGAGAAGTATCAATAGACAAATTGATATCAGTAGAAATGTGGGTAAAGATTTAAAATGACAGAAGCTTCTATGAAACATAGAGAGTTATGTTTCCAACTAGCCACTTTTGGGTATCTATCGGTTTGGCCACTTAATTAGGAGGGTATTTATTTTGGGTTGAAACCCTTTATACCTTTCTATTATTCACCGTTTTGAAATCTCTGCAGGAAGAAATCATTACTTAAGGTTCGTTTGCATCAGTGGCGTTAGGTTGGTCCTTTCTATGGCTCGTTGTTAGTTGTTATATGTCTGTTTGGATTTTGTTTAATGAATTGCTCTACCCTTCGACAGAAAAAACCCCAACTTCAACAACTAATGGATTAATGTTTAATGTGACACATAAAATTGGGTGAACTGCCAATTAATTTAGTTCTTAAATTATTACCTGAATGAAAATTAGGTCTCTAACCTTTTTTTTATAGAAAAATTATTCATTGAATTATAAAAATCTACTAATTGCATCCCTAATATTAGATTCGAAATTACTATATCCAATTTTCCGTCAATTTAAGTCACATTACCTGCATGTGATTAGGGATGGGCAAAATACCCATGGATTTGGGTAACCGCGGTTACTCGCTCATTTAAAGTTCACGGTTATAGTTATGAGTAACCGTTTAGACGAATAAACGGTTATTGGTATAACCATTTATCTGTGAAATTTAAATGGACGGCTATGGGTATTACCCGCGGTTATAACGGGTATCCATCGGTTATGGGTATTACCCATGGTTATAATGGGTATCCGTTTACCCATTTAATTTAATATATGTAAAAATTTAATATACGTAAAATTACCCATTATTTTTCAAAATCTTATTACTTTTTTTAATAAAAAGAATTGTTGAAGGGATCAATTTTTGACAATGATAAGGTGTATATTTATACGTTTAGGGTTGATGAATTCATATGTTTTTTAAATGTTAAATAGTTTCGTGGTCATAACTGATTAACTATATGTTAAATTAATTTATTCAATCGGTTATGGGTATTACTTGCAGTTATAAAGGGTATTCATTTACCCATTTAATTTAATATAACGGTTATATCGGTTATGGGTATTACTCTGTAATCACTTACCTTTGTTGGATTCATGCTAATTGGTGTCGGTGTTCCTAAATGGGATACTAATTCAATTTATACATTTCTTTTGTAGGCCTCTTTTGGTGACAACGAGTTGATGAGATTTTGTGATTGAACGTGCTAAAGCATTAGTGTTCGAAAGTGTTTAGTTTCGGAATATTTTGGAGCTTTGAATCATCTAGTATTCAAGGTAATGACTATTTTTTTGTTTGTTTTTAGAAGCTTTACTTTGAAATCATATGGATTATAATTAAAGACTTGCTTGGGTAGCAGAAAAATATCATTCGTAAACTATTATTTCAATTATTGGAATTGTATGAGGACTTAATAAATGATTAAAATAGGGAAATGCATGCTAAAATGTGCCTATAACGGTGTTTAATTGTCAGAAAATGAAAATTATGACAAATTTTTCTTTTGTAATTTTCAAGTTGTTAAAAAAAACATGTAGACGGGTGAAAAAATGGGTAAATGGGTAAAAAAAAGGATAAACGGGTTCAAAAACTGGTAAACGGGTAAACGGTTATGGTTAAATGGGTACCCGATTATGAGTATGGTTAACCGTTTATAAACGGTTATGGGTATGTGTATAACCGTTTGTGCAATTACCCAACAGGTAAACAGTTATGCGGGTATGAACATAAACAGTTATGGGTAAATAACCGTGGTTACCCGCCCGCCATAATTGTTGTCCATCCCTACATATGATACATATTGGAGACTAGATTGATAATTTTTCATAAAGAAATAGTGTATGAAGTTAACTTTGTAGGGTAAATTAGATGTTAGATTTGCAACCTATATGAAATGTTAAGGGGTTATAGGCAAGAAAATGACGGTATTACACTCTAAAGTGTGTCAAGTGACTTAAGTTGACTAAAAATTAGATAAAATAACTTTGAATATAATAGTAGGGATGAAATTAGCATTTTTAATGAATTTAGGAACTTATTTTACTAGAAAATTATTTCAAGGACCTAATTTTTGCTGAGGTAATAGTTCATGTAACAGTCCACTCTTAATGAAAAAATTCATGCAACAAACCAATTGTTATTGCTCCACATAATTTCAAATTACAATTGTGAGATATTAATTAATATTTAGAGTCCATACTATGAGTCTATGACAGTACTTCAGAGTATAAGATATTCATATTCAGAGTCCATAGTTTTTACTATCCATGCATGGGAGGTTTTTGGATTGACTTATTTGAGTATCTACCCCCTTTTCTAGTTTTATTCTTGTAGGTCACATTTAGAATGATTCTTGAAAGTTTCTTAGTTGGGACACTTTGAAAGTTCATCAAATTAGCTAAATTAATTAAGCTTTTTATTTTATTTGACAAACAATAGGGATAATCTACATTAAAATTATAAAAATTACAAAAAGGACAGAGAGTTTGAATCTCAAGATACAATGACATTTTGTGCTTGTGCCAATAATCTACCGCAAAGAAGCTTAATTATTTCATACAGTCGAACAGTTTTTGAATTTATGAACATTTGGTAGGGAGGTTTAGCAATGTGAACACATATAGAGGACTTTATCATGACAACATTTTGTGCCAAAAATACATCATCATGTGTAACGGTATAAGTTTCCTTTTATGTGATAAATGATGTCGTTTCATAAACATGAAACACCAGAATGGCAGTGTATTTGTTCGATATAAGTTGCTTTATCAAAGGATGAGAGTCGATAGAGGAAAGAGGGGCCGCCTAGGGTTAGGGTTCTTCTTGGAGGTAACCAATTTCTTGATTTTGGCCCTCTCTAAGCTAGTAGGATGGCTAACTAGTTGGTTAATAAGGGTTGAGATAATGATTCAACGCGCTTTTGGGGCAAATGATGTAATGAAACACGTACTTGATTGGTTTTGGGTAATAGCAGAGGAATCGACGTTTGGTAATTATGTTCGGCTTAGTGACCTTTGGGTTGAGGGAATGTCTTTTCTTTCACACTTGGGGTGCTGGGTTGCTGAGCTGAAGCTCTATTCTGTTGATTGCATCATTCCTCCATGCGCACGCTGGGATTAGGTGTTGTGTTTGGGGGAATGAGATTTAATTAAATGGATGCTGATTAATGGCGATATAGCTCTGATGAATGATGGTTGGAGAAGTAATCTTAAGTGCCTAGATCTATGTATGGGGAATTAGAATCAGTGGTGTAAGAGTGGCCAGAACGCTAAGCTTAAAGGTAATTATTATCTCGATATTGTCTTAATGTTTTTTTAAATTACTTTATCTTGTGAAATGTGGCTTGTTAAGTCACTTGGCCTGTCTAGCTCGTCAATCATTGCTCAAACCTCAATATGGAACATATGGAGAACATGGTACTCATGGAAAAGCTTGTGGGGAAGTAGATTGAAGCTAGAACCATTAAGTGGAAGTTATGTCTTACTTGGGGTACGGGGGTTAAGAATCCCTTTTATCTTGATCACTTTGGTCACCATTGGTATGCAGTGGAGTTTTCTGACCAAGAGGAGCTTGAGTATGTGTTAGACAATAGACCTTGGTATGTTAGGGGTTAAATCTTCCATCTGGAGAAGTTGACCGCTTTTTTTTGTGACGTGGAAATGATTTCTAGTCTTAGAGTATAGGTTCAGATTCCAAGACTTTCGGTGCAGTATCGAGATGCTGAAATCCTGGAGGTGATTATGCAACCTGTGGGCACTTTCATTAGGGCTGATGAGAATTCTTTGTCGGGTCTGAATGGTTTGTTTGTGAGGGTGTCGCTTGAGGTGGATCTGAGGCTTCCTTTGAAGAGAGTGATGGTTATCATTGATAAGGAAGATATCTCGGTGTTGCTGAGTTACGAGAAGTTGTCTAAAGTTTGTTTTTATTGTGGTCGCAGGAGATCGGAGGGCCACAAATGCTCGGTTATTGAGGACAGAGATGGGTGGCTGCTGGTGGATAGGTTATTTGAAGATGAGCTGCTGGTTTATTCAGCTGGTGTTGAAATATCTGAGGAAACCAGGCAGAAGCTGCATAGGGGGGTATGTTGGTATTTCCTCAACCGGTGTTGGGGAAGGATGTGATCTCTAAAGATGAGGAGGAGCTGGAGGTGAGAAAGCAAGTTAAAACCGGGAGGAGAATATGAGTAAGGGTTGGAATACTGTGGTTTCTTGGAAGAATTGGTATGACAATGTAGTAAGGGGAAACAAGACTTGGGTCTTGAAGGCAGACTTAATGTCCAAGTGGATGCTTGATTGTACTTTGAGCTCTGGTGCAACTGTGAGGGGTGGAGCTAAGATTGCGGCAAATGTTGACAAGGGTAAAAACACGATGGAGGAGGATGAGGAGTTCATGAAGGCTGAAAAGGAAAACAATGAGTAGGTGCAGTATCTAGGGAGTAGGAAGATGGGTAGAAACAGTGGTAATGGCGATGTTGGGGCTAGCTATGTTGTTAAGGACGTTGATTAATGAATTGTCTTGTCTAGAATTGCAGGGGGTGGGGCAGACCTGATTTTGTCCCTCAGTTTAAATTTCTTTCTAGTTTAATTAAGCTTGATATCTTGTGTGTTCTAGAACCTAGGTCTGGTCTTAGTAAAATTTCCAAGAATGTTTTTTTGTAAGTGGTTTAATGGAATGTTTTTTTGCAAAAGGGAATAGGAAAGCCGGTGGGCTTTGCCTATTCTGGCATGACCAGAACTTATCTATTAATGTAATTGCCTCCTGCCCCAGATTTATCCATTGTAGTATTAAAATCTTAAAGTCGGGTGTTAATTTTTTATGCACTTTTACTTATGCCTTTCCACAAAAATGCATGCAATCTCAACTATGGGAGGATTTCTTGAGTCTCTATGGTATCAATACTAACTCGGCAACCCTGGATGTTGATTGGAGACTTTAATAACATTTTAAGTCTTAGTCAAAAGGTGGGGGGAGATAGAAAATGTGCACAGGGTTAACTTTGCTGAGTTCTTGAAAGATGGAGGCCTTGTTTCTTTCTCTGCTTTTGGTTCCATTTACTTGGACTAATGGGCACAAAGATAACACTTTAATTTTTGAAAGATTAGATAAGGTTCTTGTAAATGCAACCTGGTTGAACACATTTCCAAATGCTAATCTCCACAATTATCCGATTTTTTGCTCGAACCATAGTCTTATTCTATTAGATTGCCTTCCAAATAACCAGTGTAATGTCGTTGGACGTTGTACCTCAAGTTTATGGCTATGTGGTTGAATCACCAGATTTTATTAATATTGTTAAAAAAGCTTGGAGTATGGATTTTAATGGCAACCCTAATGATAAGCTGAGGGGGTTGTCTATGAGCTTTGAAATCTCTGGCTAGAGTTTGGAACAAGGAGGTCTTTGGTAATGTCCATGAAAGAGTGCGTGAACTTTTTGAGAAAATTAATGTATTCTGTTGATGCACAAAATCAGTGAGGATTTTGGTACAACAGAAAATGTTAAGTTTGTGACCTTCACTAGATTGCTCCGGTCACTAGTGTGAATAAGTATGTAAATGGATAGGGACAGGAAAGCAAACACAAGATGTACGTAGTTCACCCAGATTGGCTACGTCCACAGAGTAGAGGAGTTCTCATTAATTATGAAAGGTTTACACAAGTACATAGGTTCAAGCTCTCCTTTAGTAAGTACTAGTGAATGATTTAGTACAAATGACATTAGGAAATATTGTGAGAGAATGATCTCAATTTATAGAAGAGAGTTTCTAGTTTCATTCTAACATTGACACGTGTTGTGTTGTGATTGGCTTTTGATGTTGACACGTGTCGCGCTATGATTGACTTCTGATGTCGACATGTGTCGCGCTGTGATTGGCCTCCTGGTTTGAGGGAAACTCTTTTGGGTCCTTGACGGTATAACGTTGACCGGTGCTCAGTAGTTTCAGGATTAGTCAAGTATGGTACAAACATACTCCAAGCCTAGAGTATGAATGATTAGAACAACCTTCATTTACTAGCCGAAGAGGCAATGTTACGAAATGAGTTAAATAGAGCTCTTAGTAATGAGGAAATCCTTTAGGCTCAAAGAGTGTGAGTTAACTAGCTTCAACTTGGTGATAAGAACACCAAATTTTTCCAAACGATGACAAATGTTAGACGAAAGAGGAATGGAATTTTGAAAATTAAGGATAATATAGGGTTTTGGTGGTTGAAGGGGGAAGGAATGGAACATGTTTTTGTGCAGGATTTTAAACTGCGATTCACTGGTCATCCTGGTTTGAATAATACTATGATTACAAGTTTCATTGAAATAATTGATACTTGCATCACTGAAGGCTAGAATAGGGCTTTGCTTAGCCCAGTTAGTGATGATGAGATTTGGAAGGCTATTAATGTCATTGGAGCTTTGAAGGCCCTAGGCCTTGATGGATTCCATGCCTTGTTTTACAATAAGTGTTGGGATGTTGTTGGTCCTTCAGTCATAAGTTTAGTCGAAGATTTCTTTACAAATGGATCGAGCCTGAGGTTAATTAACCATACGAACATTGCGCTCATTCCTAAAGTGGAAAATCCAGAAACAGTGGTTAAGTTTAGACTTATTAGCTTGTGCAATGTGGCGTATAAAATAATTACGAAGTTGATGGTTAATAGACTTAAACCAATTCTAGAAACTTGCATTTCCAATAACCAGGGGGATTTTGCTCCAAATAGGTCCATTCATGATAACATCCTTATTGCTCATGAAATCCTTTCGACGTTTAAACGTAAAAAAAGGAGAACCTTGAAAAGGCTTATGATATGCTGAGTTAGGATTTCATTAGGTTGGTGCTTGTTAGATTTGGATTTAACAATCAGTGGATCAATCTCATTATGGAGTGTATTACTTCCACCTCTTTGTCTATTCTGATTAATGGTAAGGCCCATGGGTATTTCTATTGTCACATCCCGGCCCGTGGTGGACCACTTCCTGGGCCCGCCCCACCACCGTAGTACAATATTGTCCGCTTTGGGACCCGACCACGCCCTCACGGTTTTGTTTCTAGGAACTCACGAGTAACTTCCTAATGGGTCATCCATCATGGGAGTGCTCTGGCCACCTTCTCGCTTAACTTCGGAATTCCGACGGAAACCGAAGCCAGTGAGCTCCCAAAAGACCTCGTGCTAGGTAGGGATGAGAATATACATTTAAGGATCACTTCCTTGAACGATGTGAGATATTACATCTATCCTTCAAGGGGAATTAGGCAAGGGACCCCTTGTCTCTGTATATTTTCATTTTATGCATGGAACCTTTAATCAGGCATTTTAATGCTCTGGCCCTCTCTCCTAGAACTAGCTTAGGGCTTTTGACTTAGCCTAGAGGTTTTAAGGTTTCCAATTTAATGTTGCTGACGTTTGTCTCATTTTTGCTAAAGCGTCAAAAGGTGCTGCTAGGATTATTTTGAATGTTTTGAATACGTTTGTGTCCGCTTTTGGACAAAAGATAAATTTTAATAAATCTTCTCTCTATTTCTCGGAGAATGCTACTAATCACGTTCGTAATGAGGTCACTAATATTATCAAAATCCAACACAAAAGTACAATTGGAAAAATATTTGGAGATAAACAATATTATTTGTTGGAAAGACCCAGTAAATACAAAGGATATTATGTTAAAAATTAAAAATAAACTAGCTGGATGGAAAGCTAACACTTTATTGAGAGATGGTAGAGTTACTCTGATCAAGGCCAACCTTAGCGGTATCACATGATGATGTGTTTTAAATGTCTAGATAAGTTTACAAAGATGCTTGATAAGGAGAATAGGAAGTCCCTTTGGGGGAGGGAAAGTAAAATGAACCCTGTTGCCTGGAATAAGGTGTGCCAGCCCAAATGCAATAGGAAAGGTGCTCACAGATGATCAAAATTGGGGGGTTCAATTAGTTAAACAAAAATATTTAAGGAGGGAGAATTTTATGGAGGCTAAGGTCAAATATCCCTTGACTACCAAGATAATGAGACTTTGTCAAGTCTTAGTTTAGCCCCTCCTCATATGTTGGCAAATCTGGAAGATGAGGAATCAAGTTGTTTTTAATAATGCCAAAGCTTATCCTTCTAGAGTGGCTTTGCTGGCTTTTAACATGGCGAATGACCACACTAATGCCAATAAGAAAAATCTTATATCTAGCAGGAAGCAACATGGGCTGATTAGATGGCAACCCCCTCGTGGTGATTTCTTCAAACTGAACTTCGATGGCTCTGTTCAGAACTCTGCGGCGGCTGCGGGATTTATCATAAGGAATGAACACGGAGAACCGGTGATTGCCGGAGCCAGGTCCTTGGGGGAAACTTCCATCAATGTCGCGGAATGTCTCGCTCTTAGGGATGCCCTTTGGATTGCGAGGAGTAAAGGGTTTTGGAAGGTCTTGGTGGAGGGTGATTCAAAACTGGTGATTGATGCGGTGCAGGGCACAAGTGGTGTTCCTTGGCGAGTGACGAATATATTTGAGGACATCAAAATAATTGCCAGGTCCTTTGAGTAGTCTCAATATGTTCCGTGAAGCAAACTTTGTGGCAGACACTATCACGGATGCAGGTTTTTAGCATGCAAACCTTCACATTTGGGATAGATCTTTACCGTTTGTTGCTTGTCGAGCTCTTCAAGTCTTCTGTCACATTATCTAAACAAGATTTATAACACGGTATTTTCGCTATATAAGCACTTCTGAATCCTTGTGTGTGTAAAACTACGACAATAATATAACCCCCTCTTTGGGAAAGGGAGCTTACATCCAGCTACATAAAGTGAGAGGGTCAATGCGCAACAAAATTTTCCTCATGGTAACCTACATTATATAAGGTAGTTTATAACTTTAGAACCGAAAGTGACAGGAAACGTTCACGCTCAAAAGTCCGGGCTCCTCTCATCCACAGTGATCTACAAGTCAAAACAGTTTCATCAGATAAGCCACAAAACATAGGTTTGAAATGTAAAGATTCTTTTCGGTAAGAGTGTAATTCCAGGTTGTAGAAACCGTACCTTTGTGAATCAAGATGATTTGCATATGGAAAAATCCATGTGTAGGTAAGCTACACTGGCCATGAAAATGAAGAAAAACGTAGACACCAACATCAGTGGTTCTGCCAGCATAAAGACAGGGTTGAAGGTGTAGTAAACCTGCCACATAAAGCAAAGGAGAGAGATAGGTTCAGCCACTAATATACATAATATTTTAAGGGTTGTGCACAGCATACATGTATTGGGACGATATATAAAGAGCACGAATCTAGGAAATTTAATTCCGTCACTACACAGCTTCAATACTAATCAACCTAGTGGTTCAGCACATGTTGTATGACCATTTCAAGGGTGAGCATATATATACTAGGACCAATGCCCTAACCTTGCAAACTAAAATACATGCTAATCTATGAGGCATATTTCTATCATAGGATACTATTAGGTGAGCATAACTGATCCTAGATACGCTCCCACAAATGACACAGAAACAAAGTCAAGCCTTGAAAAGTCCTGCGCACACTTTACATGAATTTAAAGGGCATTAAGTTCTCCAAGTGGTCAGATCAACCTCAAAACTTAATGGCAATACAAGGAGAGCCAAAATTATAATTTTAGAGTTCAGAGTAGTAAAATGCCTCAACAAGTAATTATAATACTTGGTAAAGTCCAACCAATGTCAGTGATAGAATAGCCACCTGGAAATGAGAGTTGTGTTCTGGAACTACGTTTCTCGAGAACCACCACTGTCCTTCCAGCAACATCAAGGTATGAATATTTGGTCTGCAGATATAAGAATGAA